GAATACTGCATCTTCCTGTTCAATTTAACAGATTTTCAGCCAATCATCAACAGTATTTTTTAATTTATTATTATTTTTTTAGACAGAGTCTTGCTATATCACTGCAGCCTGTGAGTGGTGCCATCACAGCTCACTGCAGCCTCGACCTCCCAGGCTCAAGTGATCCTCCCACCTCAGCCTCCTAAGTAGCCGGGACCACAGGAGGGCATCACCACACCCAACAAATTTTTTATTTTTTGTAGAGACAGGGTTTCCCAATGTTGCCCAGGCTAGTCTTGAACTCCTGGCCTCAAGTCATTCTCCCTCCTTGGTCTGCCAAAGTGCTGGCATTATAGGCGTGAGTCACCGCACCCGGCCCATCTTCATCTTCTATAGACACTAAAGACAAATCAGACCCAAGCCCTGTTCCAAGGAGGCTCAACACATTACTTTACTATAATGCAATGTATGCGGAGACAGCCACAGAATGGAAAAGGGAAGCACAGGCACCTACCAAAGCTTTCTTAGCGGGGAGGGGCTGCAGAATCAGGGAAGGCTTCTCAGAACAGATGGTGCTCAATCTTAGTTAACTTTGCTTGCTGGTCCTTCCAAGCAGACAGACTTCTTCCTAGGTCTGGGCCTTTGGGAACAATCTACATAACTACATGGAGTAATTTATGCTTTGCCTAACAAGAATCAAATTTCAAACTTTCGCTTTGCTGGCAGATGTTTGGCCTTCTCTGCCTCAGAGAAAGGGGAACTTCAGTCAAAGGCAAAAATAGAACATCATCCTAGGCTTTTGAGTTTCCAGGGCCCAGCCCTGGCATGATGGACGTTTTAAGGAATTAAATTCAGGAGTGATTTTAACTTCTATGCATGATTTTTCCCTTCTATGCTAATTTTTTAACCTTGCAACTGAATCAGAATATGATTCCACTGTACAGTGTTTTAAAAGAAAAAAAAATTGTTACCTCTAGAATTTTACACCCAGGCAATTCAACTTTCATGTATTAAAACAGAGAAATTCTCAGATGTATAAGGATTCATGTATCCTTGAAAAACATATTTGAAGATGTACTACAACAGAGCGATAAATGGAGCAAATAAAGAGCATTACGAATGGAGCTGTCGGTCAGGTGCAGTGGCTTATGCCTGTAATCCCAGTACTTTAGGAGGCCGAGGTGGAAAGATGAGGTCAGGAGTTCAAGACCAGCCTGGCCTACATGGTGAAACCCTGTCTCTACTAAAAATACAAAAAATTAGCCGGGTATGGTGGCATGCACCTGTAGTCCCAGCTACTCATGAGGCTGAGGGAGGAGAATCGCTTGACCCCAGGAGGCGAAAGCTGCAGTGAACTGATATCACGCCATGCATTCCAGCCTGGGTGACAGAGTGAGACTCTGTCTCAAAAAGAAAGAAAGAAAAAGAATGGAGCCCGGTAATCCCAGTAATCCCAGCTACTTGGGAGGCTCACTTGAATCTGGAGCTGAAGGTTGCAGTGAGCAAAGATCGCACCACTGCGCTCCAGCTTGGGCAACAGAGCAAGACTCTGTCTCAAAAAGAATGGAACTGTCATGTATAAAAGGGTAGATGCTGAGTAATTAACCGATGTAAAATAGAAATGTGCCTTAAAAATACATTGTAATTTTGATTATAAAGCCGAATGATATTACCAAAACTTATTTTCCAAAGAACAATGATATTCTGAATCCAAAATTCTAATGTTAATAAAAACTAAGGATGGTTGGTAAAAAATCGAAGTGTGTCAGACTTCTTATATTATCAAAATACAGGACACTGTTTCATTCCTGACTCTGATAAGAGAGGAAATGTAGGTTAAATTACATTGTAAAACATAAGGCAACAGAAAACTTGGTAGTTTGAAAGGCAGAATGAAATATAGGGTATAGGCTGGGTGCAGTGGCTCACGCACGGAATCCCAGCACTTTGGGAGGCCGAGGCAGGCGGATCACGAGGTCAGGAGATCAAGACCATCCTGGCCGACATGGTGAAACTCCGTCTCTACTAAAAATACAAAAATTAGCTGGGCGTGGTGGCGGGCGCCTGTAATCCCAGCTACTCAGGAGGCTGAGGCAGGAGAATCACTTGAACCAGGGAGTCAGAGATTGCAGTGAGCACAGATCGTGACGCAGCACTCCAGCCTGGAGACAGAGCAAGACTCGGTCTCAAAAAAAAGAAAAGAAAAGAATGAAATACAGGGTATATACTGTACTAAGCTCTGATGATAATGAAAGCCCTAGCTGCCACCTTGGCTGCAATCTTTGAGACCCCAAGCCAGAAGTATCTAGCTAAATGACTTATAAATTTCGGACTCATAGTAACTGTGTGAGAAAATGATGTTTATTGCTTGTTATGAGCTCAATTGTGTCCCCTCAGAATTCATATGCTGAAGTCCTTATCCTCAATCCTCAGCATGTGACTGTATTTGGAGGGACGGCCTTTAAAGAGGTGATTAATTTAAAATGAGGTCGTTAGGGTGGGCCCTAACCCAATTTGACTGGTCTCCTTGTAAGAGGAGGTTTGGACACAGAGACAACCAGGGATCATGTGTACAGAGGAGAGGCTGTGTGAGGACACAGCAAGCAGGTGGCCATCTGCAAACCAACGGGAGAGGCCTTGGGAGAAACCAACCCTGCTGACAATTTGACTTTGGACTTCCAGCCTCCAGATCTGTGAGAAAAGAAATCTCTGTTGCTTAAGCCACACAGTCTGTGGCATTTTGTTATGGCAGCTTTAGCAAACTAATATACTTTTGTTTTAAGCTGCTAAATTTTGAAGTCATTTGTTAGCCATATATAACAAATACAGACTCTTCATTTTGGAGGTTGTTATGACTAATTTGTACGGAGAAACAAACACCAAAAAATAACAAAATAATCAACCAGAGAAAGTAACAGAGTTCCCAGCAATCCTGTAATGCTGCCTTCAGTTTATTCCCTGGTCTGTCTTTTTCTAATTCTGTAAGACTGTTCCAGAAGTTCCCCTAACATGATTCTGAGTCTCCCAGCCACAATTCCTGAGGGGAAAATAGTACCCAGTCCACCCCCTGAACCCACTTCCCACCTCAGGATACAATCAGAGATGAGAACATGTGCTTATATATTTGGTATTTTGGAGAAGACAAACGTAAATAAGCTGCATGTCCAACTCTAGGAACAAGTTGTGTGTAAATTGTAACCCATCCTTATGATAGAATATCATTCAACGATTACAAAGCCTGTTTTCAAAAAGGTCCTTAATGATCCAGAGGCATTTTAATAATGTATTTTTTAAATAAAAAGATGTGTTTTTATTTGTATAAAAATATTGTATTTTAAAGTAGGATTGGAAACTGCTGGTAGAGGTTACCTTTGGATCGTAGGATGTGGAAGGTGATTCTTTTTCTCTTTTTAAAACTTTCTGTTCTTTTGACACTGAATATGTATTACTTTCATAATCAGAAGGTGCATTTTACTTGAAGAAAAAAGCATCTTGCCCATCCTCAAGACTCCCCAAATCTCCCTGTTAAAATGAATGTTTCCCCTATAATGCCATTATTTTACTTTACCTCGTATTATCACATCTTCATATTTGGCATTTGCATACTATTTTTCTTCTAAGCAGTTATGAATGTGTGCCTAACAATAGCAGTGTTATCCAGGTTTAGCTTTCCAGATAGTAACATCACTCATCTCACATTAGCATGATAATACCTATCCACAGGCAGGGCAGGCCCATTCCTGTAGCCCTCCATTTCTTTGGGGGGCAGGTGCTGTGGGTTTTCATCCTGTTCCCAGTGCCAGGCACATGACGGCTGTTTAATGTGTATTCACTGGATCGAAGAGAATTCCTCTTCCCATTATAAACTTGTTTTCTGATTAATCCTGAGAACACCTGGATGGGGACATCAGTGCTTTGGGTGGTGGGATTTCAGGGGTACTGAGAAGGCCTTTTCCTCTCTCCTGAGCTGATGCCATTATCCCATCCATAGCATGAGTTTCCTGAGCAAGCGTTCCTGGCCTAAGTGAGAGTGGAAAGCGGCGTTACAGCCACTTTCTATCACATTACAACACATCCCAGGAGCTGCGCTGGGGGCCATGAGGGAAGTGGAAACCAAGGCCATCCAGAGGACAAGGACCTGGGACTAGGAAGGAGGTGGCAGTCCCTGAGTCCTGTGTGTCCTTTCTCCCATCTTGCTCATGGCTCTACAGGCTTCAGCACACTGCTAGGCCATGAAGCACTCTCTAAGAGCAGCATCTAAGACACTGAGAATCGGGCTTTGTCGGTGAGGAGAACCCTACTAGTGGGCTGGGAGTGGAGGTTGCAGGTGCTTGCTGTCTCTGTGAGCTCAGCCTTCATGGTGTTCTCCCTGTGTGCAAGCCTATCTCCAAATTTCCACATTTCAAAAGGACAGCAGTCATACTGGAGTAGGGGCCCAGCCTATTCCAAGATGACCTCACCTTAACTAATTACATCTGCAATGACCCTATTTCCAAATAAGGTCATATTCTGAGGTACTGGGGGGTTAGGACTTCAGACATCTGAATTTTGGGGGACACAATTCAACCTGTAACAAGGGGGTGGGCAGTTCACAGGAGAAAGGAATCATCCTCTCTCCCCTGACTCATGCTCCTCAGGATTTGTGTCCAAACATTGTAAGTCCTTTTAAGACATCATTCATTTAAGGATTTTAGAGTTTTGGAAACCAAGGGAAGGATCTTCCTTATGTTCTGCTTTCTGCCCAACTCCATCTCTTCTTTGATGCAACAAGTTAGTTGTGTGAGTCCAGGCAAGAGCAAAAAATAAAAATAAAAAAATCAGTAAACCAGTCAGTATTTCAAAGAGGTGATCTTTCCAATAAATACACATTTTTTTTTTTTTTTCCTGGAGTACTGAAGAGTAAGTCTAAGGCTAGAGGAGCTAGTGGGTAAGGAGCTAGTGGGTAAGGACTGTGTCCTCTTTGGAGATAAAAGTTGGCAATCAGCAGTTGTTCCTTTAGCAAATAAGAAGAGAGAAGCAGCTTAAAAACACACACACACATTTATTTTAAAATTTGACATAATCCTTGGGTAATTCAGAATTAGCTTAGGCATTTTTCAGAAGTTTCTGAGACTGATGTCTCAACTCCAAACCAATAGCAATAGCTTATTTGATTGGTGGAAGGATTAGAGGGCCCCGTGATCCAGATGAATAGATGGCTATCAAAGAAGACAGAACCCCATAGACAGAGGCAGCATTAAGTCATAATTTCTAAATTAACTGTCATAAATATGAAACATCTCACCAGACCAACGATAACATCCATATCATAATTTGCATTTTACCAAAGTGTCCACATATAGACAGCACAGAACTAAAAGTTCTGTAGACTTCAGAATCACATTTAAATTAATTTGATCCTTTATATTAATAATAATTAAAAACTAGATTCTACCCAGTGTCGTCCCAGTCTCCACACCAACATGTATGTCCTGCTGTCAGAATGCCACCTCTTCTGCGCTCAGTGGTCATGATTTGAAGATTAAAATGAGTGTGTCAAATCAGAACATAAACCAAGCCAGGAATTCATGGGCCCAGATTGGGGTAAAGGGCTTGTCCTATACAGCAGTTAAGCAGCCCACGTGCTCTGCTCATTCCCAAGCAGAATCAGACTGGAGCTGCAGGCAGCGAGGAGGAGGGCGTGTTCTGTGTTGTCCACCGTTTTGCAAGGTTTCTTGGGTATTCCAAGGAGGGCAATTGTTGTCTCCCAATAAGACAGTTAATTCCCTGAGAACAGGACCTCTTCCCCACTAGCCTCCGTCACAGCAGGGTGCATGCAGCCGAGGTGTGAGCACAGAGCAGGTCCCTACTGAAGGCAGGAAGGAAACCAGCATGAACTGAGCACCTACTATGTGCCAGGTACAGAGCCAGGACAGGGGCTTTCCTGTAATCCTCACAACAGCACTGTGAGACAGGGTCATCATCACCACTTTACAGGTGTGGAAACAGAGGCTCAACGAAGAGCATTTGCCCACAATGGCACAGCTAGTCATAGGGGAGCATCAGTTTGAAAATCCAGGCCTTCTCACTCCAGGGCCCTTTCTAGCTACATAAGCTGAGGGTTTGGCAGTAAATGAGGATCCCAGCTCCGAGATCGTTGGTTTGGAGCCCAAACGTTAGATCCCCTTGAGCACATGGGGCCAGCCTTGAGAGTGCAGAGCCCTGAGTCTGGGAACCCTGGCTCTACAGCATGACTTGCTGATCTTGTGCAAGTCTTTGAACCTCTCCACACCAGGGCTGCGCTGGTCCAGCAGGATTCCCTATCAGGGAGAGGGGACTTGGTAAAACCATCTGGAGAGCGTGTTTGCGAACCACAGTGGGCCAGCCTCTGCTCAGAGAGCCTGATGTTGCTCACTTGCAAGGAAGAGGCGCAGGGCATTGCACTCTGCTAGCACACCTCTCACACCTGGTGAGAATCAGTTCTGCTCTCCAAGGTTCTGACCTCTGAGAGTGACGTAAGTCCAGAGAGCCACACCACTACTCCTTGAGAGACCTTCAGCAAAATGCCCGTGCGCTCAAAGAAATTGGGGTCAGGATGCTTTTAAAGCAAAAAAGGCTTAAAAGTAATTCGGGAGGGGAAGATGACTTGAAAAGGAAAAAAAAAACAAAAAAAACAAAAAAACAGATGGTGGTTAGGAGGAGATTTGGGGGTAAGTATTGAAAAGGAAGAATAGGACTGTGGTATGCAAACCCAGCTGACAGGACAGGGTCAGGCCAGGCAGAGCCTGGAGAAATCAGGTTTCGGGGATCTGCAATGCCTCGTATGTGTCATGAGGCTGCACTTGCTACCTCAGACATGGGTAGGAAGTTTCCTAAAAAAATATCTTGGGTCTCTAAGTTCAGGTAGATCTTAGAAAGTAAATATGGGAAGAAAGAAAAATGCAACTCAAATGGCTCAGATGTAATCTGCTTGCCATGTTTCTTCTCTTCCTCTAAGACTCATCTGAGTGCCCGCTGTGCTCTAAAGCCTTCTCTGATCCACACACACAGTTTAAGTGCGTGGCCCTCCTGGGTGCACAGAGAGCAAGCCCATGTCTCTACAGATCCCCAGTGCACTGAGCACACTGAATCCTATCTGCCTGTTCACATGTCTGCCTCTCTCACTGAACTGTAGCAACTCGAGGACAGACACTATACCCTTCTCTACCTTCCGTCTCCACATGGAGAGGGAAAGTGGGCTAACCAAGGCCCTTTGCTCACAAGCACCCAGTCTAAGGGCCAGCCTAACCAGCCAGAGTGATAGGAACATGTTCCAGGGGCATGGACCTCGGAAGCAACTTTTTTCTGGATGCGCGGAGCATGTTTCCAATCCCCTGTACCACCTACTTGCCCCCCAGAGCCACCCTCCATTGGGCACAATTGTAATTTGGGAGAATTTCTTTAAAACATGAAATCAATATTTAGATGCAGACTTCAAGCAATATAGAGCTTTGGTTTGTGAGAATGGCATCATTCTGTTGGGAAAAACCAAGCCCAGCTTTGGCAGCCCTGATGGGGGAGGCAGATCTTGCATCTACCACAGTGGAAGGTGGGGAGGATGCTGTCTGGAAAGAATGCTAGACATGTGTGCATGTGTGTGGCGGGAAGCTCTGGGCTCATAAACTGCCTGGCTACAGAGAAGGCCGGACCTGATTTCTTGACCACAAGCTCCTGGACCTGATTTCTTGACCACAGGCTCCTGAAGCCCCAGTGCTCTTGCTGACAGAGGCCCCTAGAGGAAAAGGAACAGGCTGGAATTGCTCAGGAAAATGTTCTTCCCAGGCTGGGGTGGCCAAGAGACCATCCATTTAATGCCTGATGGAGAAGAGTGAAGAGCCTGTGCTTAGCAGTGAATGGTCCGGAAGCCAGGCAGTGTGGCTTTTCCAAGCAGGTAGATGTCCTCATCTGTGCCCTGGTTGAGATGCTTCACCAAATTCTTCTCATAGAGCAGTGGGTGGTAGGCACCCATCGTACAGGCACTATCGAAGAACTTCTGGTAGTAGTAACACACGTCGGTCTTGCGCTTGGATGGGAGGAACTCATAAATATCCACCTGGTCACACAGGGTCATCATGATGATGATACCTGGAGAGGGGAGCAGAGGTGAGTCATGCCTGACAACCCCACCCAGCACCCCAGAGCTCTGCCCAGTGGGTCCAGCAGCTCCTGACCCCAAATTTGGAGAGCTTTCCCTCTGGAGTTTCTATTTATGACTGTGATTCCCAATCCAAGTTTCAGCAAGCCAAGCCCAGCAGTGTTCCTTAGGATGCAGGGCTGTATGAGCGTGATACACCTTTGAATCCCCAGCACCTAGGCCAGGGCCTGGTGAATAACAGATGCTCCCTAAATGCTAGTAGATTAAAAGACTCCATCAATCAGCCAATGAATGTATCCATGGAGTAATTTATCTGAAGAAACAGGACAAGATTACTGAGCTGATTGAGGAGACAGGGCCATCATGTGTAGCTAGCACTTTCTAGCACTGTGACATCCTGCAGAACCTCTTGGATGGTGCAATTTGGGAGCAGATTTTTCCTTACAGGACTTACATGAAACAGTGTCGGGGAGGGAAGACTTTTCTTCCCTTAGCTGGGCAAAGGGACAGCTGGAACAGGAGCACTCCACAGCCTGTATGATGAGGTGTGGAGAAAATCCAAGGAGAGGGCCCCTGGCCAGCATTGTTCCAATAAACTCTGCACAGCACTGCCGCTGATCCTATCTTTATTTAAATATTTGCTGTTTCATTCATCAGAATTTTTACATTGTGTTTTCTGAAGATACTGTATTACAATATTATTTATCTTGATGAGTGAGTTTTTAAGGGGTACCCCCTTAAATTGTACACCTGAGAAAAGTGCCTTGCTCCCCTCATCTGAGATACAGCCCCGCTCCTCATTTTCCCGCCTCCCTCCCCTGTTCGTGGCTTCCCTTCCCTCCATCTTCCTCTGCCAAATTCTCCCCTCTCCAAAGCCTACCAAACGCTACTTCCTCCATGAGGCTATATGTGACTGTCCAGCTAGAAGGTGTCCTCTCTCCTATGACCCCAGGTTGTCTCTCCCTTCTGGCACAAATTGAATATTGCCTCAGACATCTGATTGACCTCCCCAATAGATACCCTCAGGAAAAAGAATTCTATCTTATTCACCTCTGTATTTTAGATAGAACTTGGCATGGTGTACAAGCAGAGCAAAATTCTAGCAATTGTTTAGTGGACAAACGAAAGAACGAATGAATGAATGAGACCTCAGACAAAAAGCTCATCTCTTCTAGAAACAAACACGCAAGGTCTTTTCCCCGACATGAACTCACCAAGCATCCCAGAGGATGGGGGGTTTGGCTGAATCTCTTCTGGAGAGATTTCCTGAAGAATGTCCCACAGCTCCCAAGGCATCTGGGGCTTGAGGATGTAAAAGGGCTGATCGGGGTGCAGCTTACGATAACTCTTGTAGTTATTAAAGAAATTATAATCCGGATTCTGGTACCACTGAAAAAGAAAGAAGTGGTCCTTTCAAGGGAGAAATGGGCCAGTGAGCTGCTCCCCCCAGGAGTCATCCTCATCAGTGGCCATGGGGAGGGGAAAGGACCAACGAGGTTGCTCCTGAGGCACAGCCCTTTTCTTGCAGCGGACTACAGGCTTCTCTTCCGGTCACAGGTTTCACTGGATAGCAGGGTGGGGCCTGGCCTGTAGCCTGTGCTTTTGGGGAGAGTTGAGCTTGGCGACCCAGGATCAGCCTCAGGCTTCAGGATCAGAGTCCGGGAACACTATCAGAGCTGAAAAGAGCCCCAGCTACCATCTGGCCCCATCTCTCATTTTTAAAGGGGAGAAAACTAGAGCATAAATTGCCACATCTATGGGTTCAGAGTCCTTGTCCCGACCTAGGCAAATTTGAGTTCTAAGTGAGATCAGTGCAAAACTGTTGCAAGTCAGATAGTGAGGGTGCCAGGGGTCGCCAGAGCCTGTCAGGCATTGATAGAGCCAACTTAAGTGTCCCAAGATGAGTGCTCTCTGCCCTTCTCAGGAGTCATGGTCCTGAGGCCACAGCAGCCTGTATCAGAGAGAGGTCAACTGACATGCATGAACAGTGAGAGAACTACTCCAGAGAGGTTAGAATCCAGCAGGCCTCCACTCAGGTCTCCTTCCCTGGAAAGAGCTGCTGTTGCAGATCTGCGCCTTCTGCTTAGTAAATGAAGCCCTGGGACGGGGACTTTCATTCTCCACACTCCAATTCCCCGTCTGTAAAATGGGAACAACCGCACTTCCATCGATCTCCTTAAATTGTTATGAGAGTGAAATGGGAAGAATTCTGGATACTGGAAGTGTGAAATAAGCATGCTAATATTATTTACAGGAGTAATGGCAACTACTCTCGAGTTCTGCTGATGCTCATTAGGAGTAACTGCATTAATGAACAACCTACCCCAGATGTTGGGAGCTCCAGCCACTATCCCAGTAAATACTATAACTGGGAGATAATACCTGGCAGTGCCTGGCAGGGCAAGGAGAGTAGCTGGCATAGGACAGGAATACTTCTGAATCTGCTAGTCCAGATGAAATGGGGTATCCTAAAACTCAAATACCCAGCCTTTAGGGATAGCCAATGTCAGCCATGACTTTAAAAACCTAGGAAATCAGGAAAATCTGTAGACAGACAGGAAGCTCAACCCCTATTTCCCATGGACACCCACTTACCTTTGGGATATCTGAATGGTATACAGATGGGTCCCATACGATTAGGATTCCTTCATTGTACAAACTGTCTTTGAGGAAGCGCTTCTCTGTGGTAACCAACTGCAGGAGGAAAGAGATGAGCTGTCACTTGAACATTCATATGCAACTGTTTGACATGAAGTAATAGCTGACACAGCACAAGGTACAGCCTGAGACCCCAGAGTCGCCTGTGAGGCTTCTAAGTTCTGGTGTGGCACTTAACTTCAGTGAAAGAAAGGTAAAGATGCCAGCCTGCACGGCGTTGACCTGAAAGGACATTTATCACAAGCCACTAGCCATAGAATAGAAAGGGTTTCATCCACTCAGGCTTTGAGATTACGGGGACAAGGGTACAGTGAAAACAGCATGGCATCCCAGCCTCCTGGAGTCACACCTTGTGTGGGAGCCACAAGAGTAGAGTCTGAAGTCAGGGACTCATATAATCAAAATTATCTCTGGAATCCTTTCAGTCACCTAGAAAGTCCAGCACACTACATACACATCGTGGTGGAGACTGACACAGGATCTCTCACAAAGTCCAACACAGCCAATAGTTGCTGCAGCACTGGAACAGATGGCTGTGCTTGTGGCTGAGCACCAGATGAAATATTCAGTTTGTGTGGAGAGGCCAGAGTGCGTGCAAAAATGCGCACCTCCCAACAGAAGACTCTCACCAGGCCGGTGAGAAGCTCATGTGTGCCTCTGCTGGCTGAGGGAACCAGCGATGGCTGGCTATGGCCCTTCCCCACCACACTGGCTCCTGGGCTGGCCTGCATATGGGTAGTCACACCTGCCTGGCTTAAACATGAGTGTGACAACCTAGCTTGAATAATTGTGCAAAATGTACTAAGAGTGGTTTTTTTTTGTTTTTTGTTTTTTAAAAAAAGCATATTTATACTCTTTGACTCAATAATTCCATGTTTGGGAATCTATCCTAAGAAAGAATCCAAATTCTGGGGGGAAATTATACATGTAAATGTTAATTACTTATCAAAATAAAGAAAAGTATGGCAAAAGATACTGGTCTCGGATACAAAAAGATCCAGAAACAACTCTTGGCTGTGCCACTAACTTTCCTATGATCTTGAGCAAACAGAGTAATAGTACTAGGCCCTTATTTTCTTATCTGTGAAATGGGAATAACACGTTTGCTCTGCTCTCTCAAACGGGAGCTGTGTTGTGGATCAAATGGAGACCATGAGTGAATGAGAAAGAAAATTAGCCCCAAAGGCTTAAGAATGAAGGGAGCCGTGTCCCTCTTAAGAAAGCCAGAACTAATATATGAAATCAGTTGTCAACATTCACCTTGAAAAGCAGGTGGGAGATGATGTTGCCCAGGTAAAAACTGAGAGGAATAAATGGCAGAAATCAAATCAAGAATTAAATGAAAGCAAGAATCACGACAATAATCCCTCTCCATCTTGGTCTACATCACCAAGGCTGAGACCTAATTAATGTCACTGCAGTATCTGGAAAAAACTATGGCAAGGGAGACGGCCCGTGTGCAACCCACAGAATAGCAATCTGCCACAAGCCTCTACCATCACTGAGCTACCCCCATCCCCATACCGTCCTACAGACGTAGGGAAGTTCCCGGAAGCCTGAAGAATATACTCTCATTTCCTCAATGTATCTTTGGGACAAGAAATACTGGTGGTGGGTCCACCTTGGCGGGAGGTTGTGCAGCTATACTGGGTGCTAAGGAGCCAAAGGAAAGACACAGACCCTGCCCTCCAGGAGGTCACAGGGTAGCAGGAAAGGTGGACAAGGATAGTTGTCTAAGGTGCACTCCAGCCTGGGTGACAGAGTCAGACTCTGTCTCAAAAAAAAGAAAAGAAGAAAAGAAAAGAGATTGCCTCAAAACTGGATGGGGAATTGGAAGCATGGGTTCCAGTCCTGCTCTGTGTCTAACTCACTCCATGGTATTAGACGGACCATTTCACATCTCCTGGCCTCAGGTGCCTTATTTAGACATAACCCCTTTGTAAGGCCCTGCTGAGGAGACCAGCTATTCCTGGAAGAATCAAGCTGTTCTCAAATGCCTGTAATTACCTGCAGGGGGAGTGTGACCTGGGTTTGGAGATCCTCTTAGGGGGCAGGAGGGGAGTTCATGCTGAGAATAAGTCATTGGCAGAACAGGCAGAGCCCTGGGGAACATCTGCCAGGAAAAGGCTACACCAGGGCATGGAGTGCTGCTGCTAAAGACACTGTTTAAAGTCACCCTCTCAGTTAGAAAGTAACAAACGCTCACTGGGGACAGTTAGAAAACCCAAGAATAGAAACAAACACACACACACATATCTTCAGATATTACCACTGTGCATATTTTGGACTTTTTTCTTCTCAGATCTGTTTTCCTTCTGTTATGGACTGAATTGTGTGCCCCCAGAATTCATATGTTGAAGCCCTAATCCCTAATGTTACTAGTACCCTGTTTGGAAATAGGACTGTGAGGGAGGTAATTAGGATTAATGTGTCATGGGGTGGGGCCCTAATCCCATGGGGCCAGTGTCCTTACAACAAGTAGAGACCCGCAGAACTCTCTCTTTCCACCACGCACAGAGGAAAAGCCATGTGAAGGCACAGCCTGAAGGCCTCCTTTCTCTGATTCGGAGAAACAGCGTTTGAGAGTGCTGGCCCAAATCAAGAGGTCCCAGAACTCATAATTGCCATCATGTTTAAATTTTAGTTCCAATTATTATATTAATAGACTGTATGGCAGGGGTTCCATCAGAATCGCTCAGCTCACCGTCACTGGTTTTAGACCTGTTGTTGATGGAAATCCCAGCCGCCTCCCACCCGCCCCACAACCCATCCAGATACCTGTCTTTCAGTACCTTGGGGAGAAAAGTTGGAGCTTCCAGAAAGGTTTGGTGATTTAAAAAAGTGCTGGTGGCAAACACCTAGATCCAGATCCCACCTCCCACCTCTGTCACTGACTTTCTGGGCTCCTCTGAGCAACTCACTCGAACTCGGAGTCTGAGTTCTGAGGGAAACTGGTGGTTGGGTCATACCTCACAGGGTTTGCTACGAAGATCAAATGAGAGAAGGCATGTAAGACCCTTAGATGGTATATATAATATATTTAACAAATGGCATCAACTATTATTTCAAGATAAGCCCCGCTGAGTAATCTGGAAATGCCCTGGGTAAGCATATAGGAAGTAGGTCTCTCTCCAGCTAGCACAAAAGCTTCCAAGGAAGCCATTGGGTCTTCTTGTCACATTGTCTTCTCTGTCGGGCTCACTGGGTACAGGAGGTACTGAGTTGAGTCTCACAGAAACCTTCTTACACTTACAGTCAAAACTGCATTTATTTAAAGACCCACCCATTTACATATATCATTTTTCCTGTTGACTCTCATAGCCACACCTGGCACAGAAGCATCACATGCCTGACTAGGTCTGCTGGCCTGAAACCTAACAGTATGACACCATTCTCTATAAAAAGCCACCTTCTCAATAAGAAAAGTGCCTTTTTTGTTTTGCATGCCCTCATCACGGCCAAAGGGATGGGAGCTGAACAAATGTGGGTCCAGATGGCTTTAGAAGAGAGCTGCTGAAGCCGGGTGTAGGTGGCTCACGTCTGTAATCCCAGCACTTTGGGAGGCTGAGGCAGGTGGATCACCTGAGGTCACGAGTTCGAGACCAGCCTGGCCAATATGGCGAAACTCTGTCTCTACTAAAAATACAAAAATCAGCTGTGCATGGGGGTGTGTGCCTCTAATCCCAGTTACTTGGGAGACCGAGGCAGGAGAATCACTTGAACCCAGGAGGGAGAGCAGAGAGCTGAGATTGTGCCACTGCACTCGAGCCTGAGCGCAACAGCAAAACTGTCAAAAAAAGAGAAGAGAGCTGCTGTCAGGAGGACCTCTCCATCTGGGAAGAGAACAAGCCACTCAGAGGCAGAATTTTACCAAAGCAACAGCTATTCTCTCAGTGACTTCTGGGTGCCAGATGTTCTCCTTGTGCAGTGGGGGTGGGGACCCCGTTTGCTAATCTACAGAAACTGACACGAAATAGTTAGGATAACTGACCAGGACAAAAGACAGAGAAGACAGACCACCGGCTTTTTAGGATATGAAGGTAAGAAAGGGCAATGACAGAAAGTGTCCATCACAGTTCAGTACCACAACAAGTGCCGTCATGGAGCAGCCAGGACGTGAGTACGAAAGAAACAGCCAGATACTTAGTGTTGCTTACAGGAGGTGAGAAAAGAGAGCTGATTTGCCTAAGAAGCAGCAGGAAAGGCTCCCTTGAGGGTGGATAGTGTATCCCAGGAAGTGGGCTACCTTCCTCTCAGCCCTGGCACAATGGTGCACAGAGAGCTATAAGTATAAGGGGAAAAACAAATCTGCTTCAGTAGAAAGCCATTTTCTTCCTCCCTATCAGATTCTGATCCCACGGGAGCTATTTCGCAACCCTTTGTGAACCGCAGGCAACTAATCCGTGCGCCTCCTGGGCAGGATGCTGCCCAGGAGAGCTTCAACTGACTCCTCCCCTCCCCCTGCCTTAGCTCACACAAAAACTAGTTTCACTCCTTTACTCCAAATTTGTGTTGCTTTGACTTTTCCTCTGAACCAGTTGTAATATCTACCTGGTTCCATCATACAAGTAAAATAGAATCTTCATGATGAATTCATTTTTATATCTGTATGAGAGTCATCATCTTACCCTTTTTTCCCTAAAAATTATCCTTCAACAGAAGTCTTGCCTCCCTTCTGCTAGATGCCTCTCAAGTGGTCTCAAATTGACTCACCTTCCCTGTTGGGATTTGGGAAGGTGGAGTCATTCGCAAACAGGCAGAGGCAGACCTTGAAGTTTCAGTCGTGCCCATCGCTACTATTTACAAAGCACTTGCTGCAGACCAGCCTCCGGGTGACATGCTCCACACATAGTAACTCCTTTGATCCTAAAAAAAAAACCCTGGATAGTAACTATTCATATTTCTATCTTACGAGTAAGGGAACTGAGGCTCAGAAAGGTAAAGTAAAGCAACCTGCTCAAGTCACTCACATAGGAAGTGCTGGGGGAGGGATCTGATCACAGTCTGTCTGACTCCAGTACTCTTAATTCCCAGGC